ACAGGCCGTCCCAGTACAGTGTTATCTTAAGGTGACCCTGTAGGCCCCACTGCCTGCTCAGAATCCACACTGCCTCCAACCAAACGAGCCCAGCCTCACTTATCGCCCTAACAAAACTGGCAATAGTTGTGGATAGCTACGGCCATACCAACTCCTCCTTCCAGTCCTCTGCTAAAAATATCAAGCTGAGAGGTTTGTTTGAATTTCTCCAGACCAAACACATGAAAGTAATTTTTCCCAATTTTTTCCCCCTGCGCATATGGTTTGGTTGCAAACAGAAAGTTAACACCAATTAATTTAGGCAAAAGGGAGGATTTATTGGCTTTTAGAACCCAAGAAATCAGATAGCCAAGCCACAGGTAGGGCAGATATGTAGCGAGGGACTTTCAAAGCACCTGAAGAATTTCAGGCAAAACACATGAAGGCCTCTGGGCCACGGTCTCTTGTCTCTAATTCTCTCTATGTCATTTTTGCTGTATTCCCGGAGATCTGTTTTGCTCCATGAGATAAGATCCACATTTGTCTTTGGGGCTTGAGTTTCACATTTTAAAATTAGTTTCGGTCTCTGAAGAGTTAGACTGTATTTCGAGGAAAAGGACATACTAACCCCTCCAAAGACCATGGGGTATAGACTCACGTAAGGGTGAGGGAAGGAAAATAGAGGATTACAGTGGATTTCACATTTCCTTCCTTGGCTTTTCGTTTTCTAGCTTTTTTACATGAACATGTTTACTTTGATAATCAGAATTTTTTTGTTTTACACTTTGGTGCTCTGACCTTGTTCTAAGCATCACTAGGATTCTGGTTCCTTTTTTTTTTTTTTTTTTTAAAGAGATGGTTGATGTTTTTATTAGGCTGTGTATGGATTCATTTTTAAAGTTTTAAAATTTAATATCTTCTAAAGGACTTCAAAGAATTCCCCACTATTTGCATTCAGAGCAAAGGTAGATAATATTAGGAAGGAGACAAACAAGATTTCAGTATGTCTTCTTTTCTAAGTGGGAAATGAAATTTCAATAGGAAACTCCAGCTCACCTGTTCCTCTTAAGGAAGAGAGCTGGGTGAATGGCTGGCAGTAAATTTCATCTTCCTTTTTCTTGGGGGTGTCTGGCTTGGGGGCAGGGTGAAGGCCCAATACAGGGTATGTGGCAGACCTCAGAAGGCACTGAGGAGAGGTGAGCAGGTGCCCCCCTCTCAAGTTAGTAAAGAACAGGGCCATCCCTCTCCCACCTGTGCCTCACCCACACACTTCCTTTAAGCCTCACACCACTGGGTGGATAGAAGTTGAGCACTGGGCTGGTCAGTTAACTCGGTTGGTTAGAGCGTGGCGCTGATAACACCAAGGTCCAGGGTTCAATCCCTGTACCAGCCACATCCCTCCCCTCCAAAAAAAGTGAAAGAATTTGAGCATTAAACTGTCTTGTGGTTAATCCATCTGTAAGTCTCTTGAGGATAGTGAGCATTAGCTTCTGATTCCCCATTCCCTAGAAGTCGTGGCTAATGCTGGGTCCTTTAAACCTTCACTGAAGGCTTTCTAAGTGTGGTTACAGCAAGCTCTATACTAAAAATAATCTAGAATAATAGCTATCTTTTCCAATCTGTATCTATAGACTTGCTGTACAATAAACTGTGCCAAGTTTACTCCCCAGAGAAGGTCTATGTGTTCATGTGTGTGTGTGTGTGTGGTGAGAGAAGACGGAGCATCTCCAGTCCATATGGCTCTCAACCAGCAATGACTCTCAGCCCACCTTGAACCCACCACTCCCTGCTCCATCCCCTCTCTAAAAAAGCCCTGTGAGAGATGGCTTTTGTTGGTGCAGCATCACCGGTGTGTGTGTGTGTGTGGTGAGAGAAGACGGAGCATCTCCAGTCCATATGGCTCTCAACCAGAAATGACTCTCAGCCCACCTTGAACCCACCACTCCCTGCTCCATCCCCTCTCTAAAAAAGCCGTGTGAGAGATGGCTTTTGTCGGTGCAGCATCACCTCCACCCCCTCTCCTACGGGGAGCAGCCTCTCTTCAGTGTTATGCCTCCAATGGGGCTGGCTGGTGATCTGAAGTCTTTTTTTTTTTTTTGTCCTTTTTGAGACCGGCCGCACCGCGCTCAGCCAGTGAGCGCACCAGCCATCCCTATATAGGATCTGAACCCGCGGCGGGAGCGCTGATGCGCTCCCAGCACCGCACTCTCCTGAGTGCGCCACGGGCTCGGCCCTGAAGTCTCTTTTCCACCTCCTCCTCCGTGCACAGGGCCAGCCGAAGCACTCTACTCTCACGGGACACAGAGACTGGCTCAGGGAAGGGAACAGGGGCCAAGGTAGCCAATCAGAGTCCTTCCTTGGAATTTAATGTGGAGCTGAACAAGACGAGCTTTGCATTTAACAGAGTCGAAACAATATGAGGCAATATGTTCTTCTTTTCTGCTTAAGCTACTTTTGAGCAGGTTTCTATTGCTTCCAACTGAAAGAGTTCTAATTTTTTTCTTTTCATAGTTTCCAAATTTTCTTTAATAAAGACAGAATTTTAGTTTTGGGGGAGGAGTTCTTCGTTTTTTTGTGCCTGGCCAGCACAGGGATCGTTACCCTTGACCCTGGTGTTATTAAATTCTCTTGGTGTTACCACATTCTCTCAAATGAGCCACTGGCCAGCCCACAGAAAAAAAGTTCTGAGCTCTAAAACTACACATCAAAATCAATGTGGATATGGGAAAGCCTGGGGAAAGTTAATGAAATCCCTTGTAGAAACAACTCCCCTTTGCCTCATAGGGCTTCTTTCCTGCCTGGCCTCCGCTAACCCCTATGAAGAAGCTGTTAGTTCTTATTTCACTTCCACCAGAAAGCCAGTCTGCGTTCATTTTCACAACATTCTATTTCAAAGAATCCACGAAGTTCTCCACCTCGTGACAAAAAAACCCACAAAAAACAAAAAACAAAACAAAAAACACCCAGCTCAAATTTTCACTATTGTGCAAGGGACATAAATTACAAAAATATGCAAAATTAGTGATGTCCATTCAAACTTGAAGTTTTTAGATTTAAACCACAAGGAAAGTTAAACACAGTCACCATTTTGGACACATATTTTATTGTTCAAAAATTTCCAGCAGAGCTATCATTAAGTACCTTTGTTAGGAGATGCCTGTGAGAACCTAGACTGGAAAATAGCCATATACAGGTCTCTGTCTGCTCTTCCTGAAAACTCCACACATCAGAACAGAAACAACCAGCCCAGGCTTGAGGTGTGAGGTGATGGGCCGCCCAAGGTACAGCCGGTCACGAGCTTCCCCGGCATCACCCACACACAGATCTGACAGAAACTTCACAGGTGTAGATTCAAAGTGCAACCCCAAGTGACGATCAACTTTCCTGGGTGGTGCCCAAATAGGAAAGGCACCAGAAGAGAATGTACAGAAAATCCAATCTACCACGATCAGCATTCCTATCTGAAGTTAACTTCCTAAACTAGTGGACCATATTATTCATTTATTTTTAAAAGCAAATCAAATGTTATATGGCATCTTTTAAAAAATCATGTAAACGTTGTAAAGTTTTTTGGGACTATTTATAATCTTTAGAGATTAAAAATTACTGGACTTGTTAAGACTATAAATACTACCCTCTCCCATCCCATGAAAAAAGCAATTGTTACAAAAATATAAAAAATAGACTAGCTTCTACTCTTTAACCTTTCCACCAGGAATCTCATGACTCTGGGACCCATCCTGGTCTATATATCATACAACAAGCAAAAGTGCAATTTTTTCAATATGTCAAGGGAGGAAAAGTTAAAACATTCCCTTTTGTTATTTGATATTGTGGCTACTTTCTTCGTGGGCACTGTAATGCTAGTGAGTAATGAAAGTTTGAAGTTTTCTATCTCATCCCCCTGCATAGACCCAGTGTGGAAATTATAGCACAGGAGGCTGCTTTCAAACCCCACTCTTTAGCCTCTTCAGATTTCTCTCTCCAGCTCCTTCAGTTCCATTTTGGGACTTGCTGGGTCCCCAGACTCCTGAGCTGGCCTTGGCTCCCTTAAATTCCCACTGGAGAGGGCAGATGGTGAGGGGCAGGGCTCCAGCTGAACGGGAAGAGAGCACTAAGCCTGCTGCTGCCTGGAGCACCTGCCTCCTTGGGGTGTGGGTTGGGCCCCCGTTCAGGTTTGCTCATGACAGGGAAGCTGCATGCATGGTGGCTGATACTCATTTGGCCTGGAGAGACGACTGATGTCACAGGACACGGTCTGAAGATCTGTGAAGGGGGCCAAAAGCTAACGTGAAGGCAAAGCACTTTGCACTGAAATACTTCAATAAACTTCCAATCAGATCTCATGTACTCCTCAACAGCAGCCAGGATACAGGGCACTTTTACCAGTTAAGAGTTAGGAAACGGGCCAAATTCAGTTTGGAACAATTCAAGAAACTACAGGGGCTTGACTGTTCGTCAAGTCCTTGAGCACCTCCCTCCCGGATTAGGACATTTTCAGTCTTTCGTTGTCCCTGTTGCTGTGTTGCAGGAGGCAACGTGTGTAAAAGATCATTCAAGCCCTTGGGATAGAACTGTCTTTGGGTAACCAATGGGATGAATCCGCTTGCTACCAGGCAGGGATATTGCTGGGCTGTACCATGTCCCCAAAGTCCAGCCTAAGCATGTTCAAGAGAACCCTTCATCCCCAAAGCCCTTGTGTGCAGAGACCTCACTACCCGTTGTGTTGTTCAGAAGCAGACACCTGGGTCAGCAAGGAGCCTGGCTCACACCCGCTCCTCCCCCGCAGGACCCTCTGACTTTGGCTGTAGCCCCATGACCACCACAACCTAGCCTGGCATCCTGTCCAACCCTTGTGCTACCGATCTCACCACTCTCGTCTGAGATAGGCTATCTACCTCCAGGCCAGAATGGTGGACCCTCTCTGAACCCCCACTGGACTTCCAGGCTCTACTCTTGGAAGGACTAGATATTCACACCACTAAGGGTTTTATTTCACAGATCATGTTGGTGAGTTCTGGATTTCCAGTCCTCACCATGTTTAAACTATACATTTCCCCACACCTGGTTGTTTCTCCAGATCTGAAACATCTCACTCAACACATCCTGCTGGTTTAAAACCCCAAATGAACTTTCCAAAAGCAACAACAATAACAGATTCGGAGAGTGCCAGGCATATCTGCTGAGCAAGTCCCCTCTACTTTGGTTGCATGAAAAAAATCAGGGCCTCCGAGACATCGCAAATCTGTTTGCTCAGAAGAGAAGTGCTCCCAACGTCAAGGCACAAAGAAAGAAGTCTCCTGTGGCAAAATGATGATGAACGCGACCAGTGACCTCCGTGAGGCCTGAGGCGGGGTCACGGGGTAGGTGAGTTCAGCCTGGCCCAGGTGGGAATCAGGAGAAGACCCGAGGACGGGCCTCCCTCTGGACCCTGAGGCGTCCTCAAGCGTACTTCTCCAGGAACTTTATGTGAAAGTCTTTCACCTTCTGGAGCACCGTCTTCAGCTTCTCCACTGGAGGGAGAATGGTCATTCTGTAGGGAAGGAGAACAGTGTCAGCCTGCTTGCTCTGGACAAGGGAAGAGGATGAATCCTGCAGCTCATCCCTCAACTCCAGGACTGCGGAGGAGCCGGTGCAGGCCAGCTCGCGGGGAGGGCGGGGCCGTCTCGTCCGCTTCCACAGCTCTGGCCCCTGCACGGTGCCCGGCACTTGTTCAACCACTCCTCCCCATTCATACATTTATTTTTTAACCCAAGGAACACATGGAAACAAAAGCGATGAGCTGGGGCAGCTCACTAGGACGTATCCGCCCATCACTGCAGAAGGCCAGCACAACCTTTTGACCAGTGTACTGAACTTGCTCTAGAGCATGACTCTTGGTCTTTCCTACAGATATAGTGAGATTTCACTCCTACTGAATGGGCCTTTTTTATCTTCACTACTCCGTCTACGACAGTGAGACAACCTCTAGCCCCAACTCTCCCTCCAAAGGAGTCCCCAAGATGCCATGGTAACTAATGCCTCCCTCTGTCCCATCAATATGCCTCCCAACCCCAGAGGCAGCCCTCTTGATTACACCACTTTTGCATGAGCCATGAATCATGGAGGTGAGCCTGACTAAGGGTGAAAAGACCAACGAGACATGGTTTGTTCATCTGAGGACACTACCCATGACCTTGACTAAGTCAAGACTCGACTCCAGGTGCTAACAGCCCATGACATCTCTTTTTTTAATTTATTATTTATTTAAAAAAAAAATTTTTTTTTCTTAAAGATGACTGGTAAGGGGATCTTAACCCTTG